GAAGGATATATTTCTTGTTACTTGTTTCTTCTTACTCTTCAGAATTTTCTTGGTAATTCTCATACTTTCCATATGAATTTTAAAGTTTATCTGTTTATCTGTTTTTAAAAATCCTATAGTTACACTTATTTGGATTGTATTAAATTTACAAGTTGATTTATGGAGTACTATATCTTTTCTATCCAAAATTAGGGTATGCCTTTCCATTTACTTAGTATTTCTTTTATGTCCCTCAGTGGCATTTAAAGTTTTTTTCTTACAGTGACTACAACTTTCTTGATATGTTTCTTCGTAAGTATTTAACTATTTTTGTTGCTTTTGCTTATGAGATTTTAAAATTCCATCTTCTATTTATTACCTTTTGCATATTAATTTTACGTCAGACAGTCTTATTTATTTGTTTATTATTTACAGTAAGTTTTCTTTTGATTCTTTTGGATTTTCCAGACATCTGATCGTATCACTTGCAAATAATGATAATTTTATTTTCTCTTTTCCAATTTTTATATTTCTTACTCCTTTCTCTTATAATTATATTGTCTAGTACTTCCAGAGTAAAGTAAACAATAATGATGCTGGAAGGTATCTCTGTCCTACTTCTGACTGTAAAGGGAATGCTTCTAATGTTTCCCCAGGAAGCATGAATCATGGCTTACTTTATACATAGCGTCTTTATTTCTCCTTAACATTTCTTGACTCATTCTCTTCCCTGAATACAAAATGTTTCTTTTAATCTATTGTTGTTTTTATTTTAACTGAAGTATAGTCATCAGTTTCTGATGTACAGCATAATGTTTTAGTCATACATGTACATACATATATTCGTTTTCATGTTCTTTTTCACTATAAGTTACTACAAGATATTGAACTTAGTTCCCTGTGCTATACAGTATAAACTTATTGTTTATCTATTTTATGTATATATGTATATATTAGTATCTGCAAATCTCCAACTCACCCTCTTCACCCCCTGGTAACCATAAATTTGATTTCTATGTCTGTGAGTCTGTTTCTGTTTTGTAAATAAGTTTATTTGTGTCTTTTTTTAGAGCCCACATGTAAGTAATATCATATGGTATTTTTCTTTCTCTTTCTGTCTCATTTCACTTAGAAGTGACAATCTCCAGGTCCATTCATGTTGCAGAATAAAATGGCATTATTTTATTCTTTTTATGGCTGAGTAGAATTCCATTGTGTATATATATGTATACCACAACTTCTTTGTTAAAAATGTGTATTCCCCTTTCATCGCCTAATATTCACCATCAACTCTACATCACCCAAAGACCATAAAACTCAGGATATATGAGAATGAGTGAACTAAAGGAGACCTGAACTGCTAATGGTTGACAAGATTAAAGGCTGTATTTTACTTGTGAATCACTTTCATGAGCAGTCTGCTTCGTCTAGAGTGGAAGCCAGTGACTGGAATCAGAATTGTCATTGGCTTGAGCAGCTTGGTGCTTATAGAAGTACAGAAGACTTAAGAGTTTTTCTGAGTGTTTTTACAAATAAGTTGTTTTTCATTTCATTAAGGAGAAAAATACGGTAATTTTAAAAGCTGTAATAGAAACAAGAGCAAATTTTAATCTTTGGAGGAAAGGGTAAGAGAGAGCACAAAGACTAAGGCAGTAGTCTTATCCTGATCATGGGGAGGCAGCAGGAATAGTGGAAGAAGCTTAAGCTTGAGAGTCTGACCAGCATTCCAAATCCTGAGCTGCTCCCTCTCAGCTGTGTAACTTTCCTTAGGGTACTTAACGACTCTGCTTTATTGCCTTTCTTAGTGCCATCACACAATGAGAAAGTGCCATTCTTTGGAACAAGTTTTGCTGTACAGTGTTTATGGCATTATATGAAAAAGACAAAGGGTGTTTCCTTCTCTCAGTGATAGAAGTAAAGACTAGTCACACTTGATGTATTTTAGAGAGACTTTCTTGGAGTCATACGGTTGCCTTTGCCCTGTGATTGGTACATCTGGGGCAGTTGTAGCCAGCCTCTGCCAATGATGATTACTGCGTCTTTGTTATTCCCGTTTTCCTCTGTCATGGTTGCCTCCACTGGGGTGTTCTAAGATAAACAAAGATTTCTTCCCACCTCCTTTTATCAGCTTGTTTAGCGTGGCCTTGTGGTAATCGTAACACTTGATTAGGTCCACAAAAGGCGACTCAGCTGTCTTGATTTTGCTGGTTCCTCTCATGAGAGACTTCAAACAAGTGTCCAAACTGACCAGGGAGCATAGAGGTGCCTGGGGCAGTGAGTCACTGTGCCCAGATGAGAATGGGGGATAGGAAAGTGTGTGAAGAAGAAAGGGAGACTAGAGAGATGTTTGGGCCACAATGTAAAGAATTTTTTTATGTTACCTTTTTTTTTTAATTCTTTTATTGTAATTGTTTTTTCCTTAATGGAGGTACTGGGAATTGCACCCAGAACTTCGTGCATGCTAAGCACAAGCTCTACCCCTGAGCTGTACCCTCCCCCCTTAGAATTTTAAATACTAAGCTAAGAAGTTAGGAAATTGTCTCTAAACAGTGACAATCTTTTGAAGGTTTTTGAAGAGGAAGTAATGGTATGATCCAGCTTGTATTTTAGGAATGTAACTCTAGTCGCAGCATATTAGATTGTAGAGTCTAGACAAGTGGTACTTAAACTTTATTACACATAAGAATTGCTTTTTAAAATGAGCATCCCCAGGCCTCACCTGAAGAGATTCTGATTGAATAGATCTGAGAGGAGGCCTTGGAGAAGCATTTTTAATAAGATCATCAAACCACACTTTGAAGAACAATAGACTAGAGATTAAAGGAGAGAAATTAGTTGGGAAGCTATTATATCAACAATATAAAGAAAAAATACCTTAAGAGAACTAGCTTAACAATATGTGCCAATAGAAGAAAAACTTATTTTCTAGTGATTTTTCTCAAAAAAAAAATCCTACCTAACTCTTAATTTTAGTTAATACATATCAGTCCAGAGTTCTGTGTAAAATGTGAGTAAAGTAGAAAACCAGAAGGAATTAAAGTTAGATTTTTGAAATGCTAAAACTAAGGGAGCCATCCCTGCCTTTGTTTTCAAGTTAAGCTACTTAAACTCCTAAATACAATTTCTGCCCTCTATATATCTAATTTTTAATATATCCATATTTACAGGTATAAAAGTAGAATTAGGTCTTACCTTTATTCAACAAAGATGGGGAAGGAAATGCTGATTAACACATGAACAACACAAAGGACTACAACATATTTTCTAGGAATTATAAGATTTTGATAATGTTTGATAATAAAACCAGTCAAACATGAATTAATACACCTAAGCTTTCAATGACTTTTCCCTCATTGAAGACTATAGAGCATTTAAGATAATATGTACTTTTATTAGAGAATTTGAAATAGCTAATAAGAAGTTACTTCCCTTTTATTTCGCTTTTTCTAACCCTGAATAATTATAATATAATAATGTCCTACATTTGTATTATGTTTTACAATTTATACGCCGTTTTTCTAGGCATTTCATATAATCCTGTAATAACCTTGAGGCTTTGGTATTATCAGTGGTTGACAAACTAAAACTCAGGCAGGTTAAATGACTTATCTAAGATCACACAGCTGTTATGTGGTAGAAATTAGACCTAATCCAGGTTTTCTGCTCCAAACCAATTTTGTTTTCCCCTCTCTCAGCTTTTCCTTATGACTGTATGCTAAGATACCCTGTGGTCTCTGTCTTCACCCCACAATCCAGATAAATCCCTGAGACTTGCAGGTGAACAAAAAATACTTAGTGTTGAAATAGTTTCATGTTGGAGATAAAAATTTAGATATCAGAGCACCTATCTGATTAAAAAAACCAACTGGACTGATATAAATAATTGGATTAAAAGATAAATAGGAGAAGAGACAAATCTCCACTGCATAATTCCAAATAATTCATATAGTTATTCTTCCTTTAAGGAGGTGGAGCGTAACTCCGCACCCTACCCTTTAATTTGGGCTGTGTTCAGTGACTTCCTTCTAAGAGTAGAATATGGAAAGGAGGAGAAAAGACTATTTACAGTGGAGAAACCTGACAAACACTACCAAGTGATCAAGATCAATATCAGCAGTGATAAGTCATGTTGATAGTATGTACCCTTGACATGATGTGATGAAAATGACACTTTACCTCAGTGGTCCTCTCCCCAAAACCCAGAACTCCAGTCTAATCATGAGAAAAACCATCAGACAAACCCCAACTGATGGACACCCAGAAAATACCTGACCAGTGCTCCTCAACACTGTCAAGGTCATCAAAAACAAGGAAAGTCTGAGAAATTCTCATAGCCAGGAAGAGCTTCAGGATACATGACAACTAAATGTAATATGGGATCCTGGATGAGATCTTAGGACAGAAAAAGGGCATTACATTAAAACTAAGGAAATCACAACAAACTGTAGACTTTAATTAATGATATATCAGTGTATACCATATCAGTTGGTTCATTAGTTGTGTCAAATGTAAGATGTTTATAATAAGGGAAAGTTGTGTGGGCTATGTGAGAACTCTACTATTTTATAGCTTTTCTGTAAATCTGAAACTATTCTAAAATTAAAAGTTTATTTAAAAAATAAAAGACTAGAATAACACCTGATAAGCCAATTCTCTTCGTGGTGAATTGCTATGAAGTGAAATAGTATACATCTTCCATCCTTGGATTGGTATCAGAGTTAGAATTAAAATCATTAGAGAATTATTTCAGTATTAGTGTAAATTACCTAGCTGGAGTATGAACTGTTTTGAAGGAAATGAGTAAATAAGTTCTTTGTGTTTAAGTAGAGAAAACCCAGAAAGTTATCAGAATAATGCTCAAATATAAGGTGACCCTGAATATAAGGGAATCTCTTACCTTTTCAATGAAAAAAATATTTTTAAAAAGGGATGTGGATGGAATTAGATAAATGTACGTTTTTACGTACATATTTAAGTCCATAATTTTAATAAAATATATGAATCTAGAAATATTATCCCCCATGCTCACTTCAGCAGCACATATACTAAAATTGGAATGAGACAGAGAAGATTAGCCTGGCCCCTGCGCAGGGATGTCACGCAGATTCATGAGGCATTCCATATTTAAAAAAAGAAAAAAAAAAGAAATATATCCCCCCCACTTGTCACTTTTTATGAAACAATATTGCCAAAATTTTTTATGTGCAACTTTGACGTCAATATTGGACACATAGTAGGTTGTCAACAAGTATTGAATAAATGATAGTTTGAAATCAGATATATGGGAAGCCCTGGATCAGTCTGTGAGGATCCATTGAAGGCTTTGACCATGAAAGTAATTCATAAAGGTGGAGTGGGATTTAACCTTTTCTCAGGGGAGATGAAGATGTCACAAATCATCTGCTTAAGGGAGGCCAGGGTGTGGCCAGGTGATGGCATGGGGACACAGAAGGAGCCCTGATTTAGGAGGTAGTCAGATCTGGATTCAGAAACTGCTGAAGACTGAGTGGTCCCAAGAGTCTCTGAGGAGGTGCCACTGAAGCCAGAACCTGAGGGTATGAAGAGTAAGGGCCAGAGCTCTCAGGTGGGCATCACAGGTAGAATGACTCTATTATGTTGGAGGCAGGGAAAGGAGCCCACTGTGACCAGAGCAGAGTGACTAGGGGACCTTGTAAACCATGAATGGGACTCAATTTTTTTTTAAGTACAAAGGAAAAATGGGCATTGACATCTAATTTACAGTTCTAAGAAACCACTTCCATGAGGAGAATGGATTGGAGGAAGAGGCAAGAATGGAAGCAAAGAAAACCATCAGGAGGCTAGACTGGAGATGATAATGATTTAATAATATAATGATAATAACTAACACACCACTTACTAAATGCCCAGGCACAGTTCTAAACACTACATGAACCAGCTCATTTAAATGTGCTTTCCAGTTAGCACCCTCTTTCCTTCTCAAAAGTACCAGTTTGGATGATACATTCCAGGAAACTGTGAATCAGCCAATTGACGTTTTCAGAGGGGTTTGATAGTTGGAGTGTTGTCTCCTCCACCCATCAATTTCAAACCATTCTATGAAAGCCACTAACTAAGGCAACTCTGTAATACAATATTAATTGAAGTAGGAAAAACTGGAATCTCATCTCTAAACTTCCTGAGCTTCTTCCTTTTTGTTCCCTTCTGTCCTGGCTCTTCTCTGGGTTCTGAGTTGTATGTGGGCATTTCTATTTGTCTCTTATTCTCAGTGTATTTTTTTTTTCCCACTCCCTGTGTCTTTCTCTTTCCCTGTTTGTGTGTGTTGTGTGTTTCTTTCCTCTTTCTCCTCTTTGTCTTCCCTACCCCGTCTCTCTACTCTCTTCCCTTCCCCTAATCTCCCTCATTCTTCCCTCCTCAACTGGCCAGTGAGGTACTAGCATGTACAGTGGATCTGTTCTGTTTAATATATAAAAATTGATGTTGCCTATTTCCATTTAAGACTGATTCAGACTCCCAAGAGCCAGTGTACTAGTTCCAAAATGCTTCTGTAGATGATTGTTACAAAGTATTTTAAATCTTTTTATCCCAGTTCCTGTATTCACATTGCTTGAGGAAATTTACCTAGCACCCCACTTATCTAACTGGTTTCTTCTAATGCCACACCTTCCCTTCCCACTTCACCACCACCTCTGGACTGCCTTCTCTACTTCAGGTCTCTCCTCAGCCCCTGCGCTGGGCAGCACCTAAATCATACCAGACCACATCTGTTCTTTAAAACAGAAGAGGACTTATTAAACCTTCCATGTTGAGCCAAGTGTCTCTCATTCTTCTATAATGTTTATCTTAGTTTTTCCCTGTGTTACTTTTCCTAAGGCTTGACACTTCACAAACTATTGCTGTTGCTCTGAAGCTTACTTTAAAGATGCTTTTACATATGAGAGTGCCGCTTTTATATGCCTGGTTCCAAATAAGGGACTACCAGGGACAGCTCTCTTCCATGCAGAGGCTTCCCTTAGTAAAGGAGCATTCCTTTGTGCTCATCCTGCGTATAAATCACCAGGGAGCTTTTAAATGAGAAAAGACCTGACTGACCCAGAAGGTGGTATTTATAAATAGTCCTCCAGCCCCCCTTCCTTAAAGCTTGTCCACCTAATCCTCTCCACTCTCAAGATTGGAAGTGATTTGACCTCTGAGTCTTAAAACTCAGGCTCTTTTTCTTTTAAAAATCTGGTTGGCAAAAACTGTTAAAAATGTTTTCAGCCTGATGATGATCAGCCATCAGAGCTTGCCTTTCATTTCCAACATTTTTAGCCAAATATGCTTCTGCTTTTGAGGACCAGCTTTTCTCATTGTTATTATTTTGAGACACCTACCTCAATAATTTTTATTTCTTTTTACTGATAGGCTATTGTGGATTAGAATTTTTATGATTTAGAGAGCTGTTCCCTAATGACTGCATCTTTGTCATGAACTGAGAACCTTCCTTTTCATCCCTAAAATCACAGAACTTGGAGGGGCTCTAAATAGCCTCCATCCCAACATCACTGGATGGAGCTTTGTTTGCATTTCTCTAATCTTGTATTATTTATTAAGGCTAAAATCTCACAGGTTTTGTTAGGATTATGAAATGAAGCACATGATACAGACACTAATAGATAGTTTTCCAGATTAGGGTACATGCAGGAAATGTCTAATTGTTGAGCTGACTAAAGACACTTTTTAATATATTTTCCGAAAAGGTAATTAAGTCCTTAATCTGATTATTTATAAAGAGAAGAGAGGCTTGTGTTAGGGAAATAAACCATATATTTTTAGCAGCTTCTCCTCTTTGCTATAAAATGGAGGAAACTTACATTCACTATCCATTAACTATCAGAGAGAATACTCTAATTTAAGGCTTTTTTCTTTTTATCCACTAATAGATTGAAGAGTAAGTCCTGGTCCCAGGCTTTTTACTTGCTGACCTGGGCCAGGGGCAGTAATACTTTTTCTGGAAGGTGCTAGATCTGATCCATCTGTTGCTTTGTGAGGAGAGCCACTTCTCAAAGGCTTTCCTTGCAGCAGACTTACTAGAATGTCCTACTTGCATGTGAGTCTGGAACTTTAGAATTAATTTTAGCTTTGTTGTTTAAGAAAGTCTGTTGTCTAGTGTGGCTGTATTGGTACATAAGAGACTATCTGTAGAAAAAGAATGAAAAACATGCACAGAGCAGGCTGAACAAGTACTGTGTCTTCTGAAACCCTTGGGCTTAAATGTCTAAGGCAGCTCTGTTTAGATCCGAGCTCAGAGTGGACTTGATAGAGCAGTAGTACTTATTATTTTATTTCTCTAGCTGGGGAAGCTTTCTCCTAATGTAATATGGAGACTCTGGAATCGGTAACTATGTGTGAGTAATTAGGATTATAAGACATGGCCTAAGCACATATGTATCCTTTTGACTTGCTTTTCAAGTTAGTGGTTAAAAAAAGAAAGTGGAGTTTAGAAATACAAAGCAAGAGAGAAAACCACATAGGTGCAAAAGAGCAGCAGTAGCAGCAAGATAATGAGCATACTAGGAGAGTTAGGATTACACACACTGAGAGGACAGTAACACAGCCAACACAACTTCAAAGCAATGGTGGGTTCAAGTCGGGGGACAGTGCACAAGCTGGTTGAGGGCACAGGACGCTTGGGGTACCCATCACATTCAAGGCACACTACTGGATAAGGATAACCCTTGGTTATCTTTTGTGACTTTTCTTATATAGCAGCAGAACTTTTGGAAAGAATCTCTCCAGAGGGTTAAATATAGTACCATTACATACATAATGATGCTAATCAAGTGCGTTGTTCAGGGTCCTTCATCGCAAGCTGCCCAAACAATGGGAAGGGTTCTCAAAGGCTCTCTGGTGCTTTCAGAACTGACTGGCAGCTGGAGGACCAGGGCCTGCAGCAACAGCCACACTGCAGGAAAGGTCAGGTTGGCACTACCTGCTGCCCTACCCTGAAGAACTGCTGATTTTTCCTCAAATCCTTGTGTGACTACAGCTTCAGGGTCCCAAGTGTCCAAGCCTAGGTCAGGTGCTTGCCCACATCTGCACCTTGACCAGGAGAGAAGGATCTGGATCTTCTAGTTGTTACAGTGCAAAGCAGCCACTGCCTCCCGTGGGGCAAGGGAGGCCGCAGGGTAGGGGTTGGGAAGAGAGTTTGGTTGCTAAACAGCCAAAAAAAAAAAAAAAAAAAAGATTAAAAAAAAGAAGAAAAAAAGACCCATGTAAACTGTATCAACTATTTATCTGAAGCTCAGTTTCTTTTAACCATCTTTCTCAGGCTCAGCCTACATGCATGTACAATATTAATTTTCTTTTCCTTTAATGATTTGTCCATTGGTTTTAAAAATAAAAACAAAAAAAAAACTTAGGACTGTCTTTTTAAATTTAGTCTTTGTTGTTATGAAAGTTGTACGTGTATATCTACCTGGTTTCTAGTGAAGAACAACATTCCATGTGTTCCTACTCCTGTTGTCTACTTCCCAGAGAAAACTATTTTCAGTTTTTTCTAGATGATTTATTTGGTGTTTATCTATATTTCTAAATAGCACACTGTGGTTATATAATGTTTCCATTTTAGGCATTATTTATCAGCTTCCACGATGGAAATGAGTTTTGTCCTTTCTCAACACTTTATACCTGACCACACAGACACTCTTCTCCTTCCTCCATCGTCCCAGGATAATTGTATTGGATCCATAGTCTGTGTTGTTATTATTACTGCATCAACACTGCAATGAAGCCTTGTAGTATACTGTGACTACTACTTTCCCCAGTACTACCTTTTATTTTTCCTTGATATTAGTAATTGTCTTTCTTTTTTATTCATTTGCCCAAATTTTCTGTACTTGTCATTAATTTGACCCCCAAATCTTCCCTACTTGAATAAATCCTCTTTCCATGTAAACACATTAGATATTCTATGAATTTCATCTTTTTTACATTTAATCTTAAAATCCTTCCCTGAGTGTTCTGACTTGCTCTTGTCTGGACTTTGGACCAGTAGCTCTCCAGTCCTGCTAAGGAACTATTGTCTTGGGGTCTCCTTCACCATCACTCTGAGGACCCTCTTACCTGTCTCTTGTTTTAGATCCCTTGCTTCCTGGCTCTGATGTCATC